CGGCGGCGGCGGGACGGGGACGGGTGTGCGCGCATGAAGCCATAACGGCGCGCAGGACGAGGTCACGCACTCACCCATGGCTTGGCTAGCTGACCGCACGCTGGCTTGGGAGAAAAGGCGGGGTCCGGAGGTTGCTCTCGGGTCGAGTTTGAGTTTGCTTGGCGAGGTAGTCTGGTTGGCAAAGAAGGGGCGTGGTATAGATCGTCGATTGTCGCTCCGCCGTCTGACTACGGACCGTCGATCCTCGGAGGGGCCGTCGGTCGATGTGGCGGCAGGGTGGTGAGAGAGCAAGAGAGTGGGGTGGCGACGTGATGGGCCGGTGATGGTGGTTGGTTTAGAGGATTGGCGTAGCGCAGCCAGGCTGGTCGAGGCTGGGTCTGGGCTGAAGGGTCGCAGGCCAGGCGAGCGTAGGCAGGCAGATCAGGCTGGCTTGCTCGACGGGTCGGTTCAGGGGGTCGTGGACCGGCTAGCGGGTGATGGCTGCAGCCAACAGCCAAAGGGAGGGGGGCAGGGAGAGGGAGAGAGGCGAGGGGAGAGAGCCAGAGCCGGAGGCGGAGGCGGAGTTGGCCAGACGAGAGAGGAGGCAGAGGGCCGAAAAAGAGGCAGACAGGCAGGCAGGCAGGCGGGCGGGCGGGCAGGCGCCGAGCGAGCGGGCGGGAGGGCGAGAGAGCGAGAGAGCGAGAGACACTTCGGCCAACATCAGCAAGCAGCAAGCCAAACCAGCCCCAGCCAGCAGCCTCAGCCCATCATGGCCCCCGCCTGCAGCCTGGCCTGGCCTGGCCTCTGTGTGCGTGTCTGCGCCCAAGAAGCCGAGCAACCGCGACGTCGTCCTGCGCGCGCACGCAGCCCCCAACCTGCCAGGCCTGCCAGCCAGCCTGCACCGCCCGTCCTCTCACAACAAGCAGCTGCACCCGACTTGGCTCACATTTTGAAATCCGAACCCTGCCCCTGCTTGGATTTTTGTAGACGAGCCCCGCCCCGCTAGCGCTGTTCTATTCGACCGCCTCGTCTGTATTTCGCAGCCACGATTCTGCGCCCCGGCCGCCCTGCCTCCTCCCTGCGCCAAGCTCGACACCGACTTCCATCCCTGCGCTGGCTTGCCTCGCTCGTCCTTTGTTTGCACCCCGGCCTCCTCCTGCTGCCTCTCTGCGTGCGTTCTCTTGGCAAAGGCAACGGTCGGTCCCTCGGTCGGTTGAGCGGTCGCCCTGCTTCTCTTCTTGGCCGGCCTTCGACAACGCCGACGACGACGGCGACGGAACCGTACGTGTCTAGAAGGCAAAGATTCCGGTGTCGGTGTTCCGGCATCGTTTCCCCTCACCGTCACCGCCCGCTCGGTCGGCTGTGCGCGAGTCCAGGGTGCACCCCCGTACGACACCCCGTCGTTTGTCGTCGTCACCACCGCAAGCCGCCGCCGCACCGCATCTTCCTACGCGCGAGATGTGCCGCCAACGGCGGGCCTAAATTTAGATAGCGCGCCGCACGACTTACGCCATCGTCGACTACGCACGCCGCTCGGCTTGGCCCTCGCCAACGCGCGTACGTATGTACGTCCTTGCGCCCTGAGCGAGCCAAAATCGGCGAGGGGAGAAACAGGGAGAAAAAAAAGAGACAGCATGCAGGCAAATGAGAAAAAGTCGCCGAAGGCTCGGTCGGGGCGCAGCTTGATCGCCGGCAACCGCCCCCTTTTCGCGATGGCGCACCAGCATGTCCGCGCCGACGGCGCACATACGGACATCGCCTTCGTTCGGCTCGCCATCGTCCGCTCACGAGCACGGCGGACGCACGCCAGACCGTCCAGGACGCCCACCTACATGCCACCTTCAACCATCAGGCTACAGCAAGAGAGGCCGGCCGATGATACGATACGGTGGCAGCCGTGCCGCAGCTCTCTTCCATCGAACCTGCCCTCGCGAGCGGCGTGTTCGAGGCACGTGATCGACTGCTCAGTTCCAAAGCCAGTGCTGGCCGACTGACCCCGACAGCTCGCACTCGACGGCCGCGAGCGGGTTCCATGCGATTGATTTTTGCCTCGACATGCTGAGAGGAATGGGTATGATGAAACACGAGGCCCACTGGGCGACGACCGATCAGATGCCGCTCTGCACGACGTCGAGCAGCTGCACGACGGCCCTCTGGAAAAAGCAGAGGTTGTAGTCGATCAGCGCGCTCTGCTTGGCGTGCACGTCGGTCTTGAGGATCGTGATGAGCGACAGTCGGTCGTTGATCTGCCAGAAGGCCAGCGACGTCTCGGGTCCCAGGCGCGCCACCGAAGTGGCCAGTCGCCTCGGTGCGAGAGCAGCAGCGCCCGGAAACGGCTGGCTGCTGGCCCCGTTTGCTGCCGCTGTCGACGCGTCGCCGCAGCTCGGGGTGACGTTGCTGAGGTCCCGCGGCGCACAGAAGACACGACACACCGTTAGCTGGATGAAGATCAGCCGAGTTCAATTGCCAACCGGCCACGACAACTCACGCATAGAGGCTGGCAAACTTGCTGAGGAAGCCGGCATACTCAAAGATGACATCAAAGCTGGCGGCATCAAAGGGCGTAGAGTCCGAGCCGGCGAACGTTCGAGTCGGAAGGTCAAACAGGAATGCCTTGTCAAACTTGCAGCTCGAGCAGATCGAGTCGCACAATGTCTCGACCGATTCGGCCAGCGTCGATGGGATCGTCGATGCGGAAGACAGCTGGGATGCCCCAGCCAGCGGCGACGGGGTGCGATTTATCCCGGAAGCGCCTGCACCGGAAGCCGACGGCGGCCTCAGATGGCGCGGCGGCGGCGGCGCTGCTTCGACGCTCTTGGTCTTCTGCATGAGGCTCTGCTGAACTTTGGAGAAGGCGACAAAGACGCTCGTGTCAAAGATGCTGGTGAGGTGGAAGTGGAGCCGGACGGCCGACTCGAGGTTGATCTGACCGGCCATGGGGATGTCGGAATCGTCGCGCCCGCTGCTGCGGCCGTTGTTGTTGCCGGGTGAGAAGAGGGAGATCTCCGAGGCCGAGGCGTCGTAGCCCGCACCGTTGTTGCTGCCGCTGCCAGCTCCCGACCCAGCACCGCCATTGGCGGCACGCCCGTTGAGAGCCGGAGATCGACCCAGCGCGCCAAAGTCGCGGCTGCGTGAGCGGCTTTTGCCAGAGTCCTTTTTCGGAACGCCGACGGGTGCCGGGTAGGACCAAGGCTGGGCGGTGAAGCTGGGGCTGCTATCGACGAGGTCGTCGAGCACCTTTCCGCGGATGTCTGCGAGCGTTTCTTGTCGGTAGTCTTCGCTGTACCCGTCGATCTTGTGGATGAAGACGTGGAAGTCGATTGTCTGGTTCTCTGCAAAGGCGGCGAGGATGACCGAGTGGAGCTTGGAGAGCGCCTCGAAGTAGTCGTCCTGGGCGTCGATGACAAAGATGACGGCGCTGACGCCGGTCCATGCGAGCAGTTCCTGCGACGAGGTGGCCGGTGCGGCTGGCGTCTGGGTCGATGTAGCCGGCTGAGACGTTGCGGTGCTCGAGGGGTCTGGCGAGGCAGCTGCCGCTAGTGCGCCCGCTCGAGCTTGCGCCTGTGCTGCGGCGGATCTAGCCTGCGACGAGGTCAAGGGAAGTCCCTTTTCGATGCGGTTGCTTGCGCCGAGGAGCACGCCGCCGGGCATGTCGGTCATGGTGATTGGGAGGAAGGAGTCGGAGTTGACGGTGGCGGCCTTGAGCGTGGATTCGAGGAACAAGGTGTCGTCCGGGTGGAGGTCGTTGTAGACGACATTGAGCATCGACGACTTGCCCGACCTCCTGAGGCCGATGAGGGGCACCTGGAGGCGAGGCTGCTGGCGGCGCTGCGCTACCATGGTGTCTCCGGCTGCGTCGGTGGCTCTCCTTGCAGCGGAAGACGAGGGGGCGCGTTGCAAGCGGGGACGAGGGGGAGGAGCCGAGTGACCGTAGAGAGCTCCCAAGGTGGACATGACCAAGGAAGGCGGGGGGGGCCGCGGTGCTTTCAGGGGAGAGGGAATGCCTGTGAGGGTATGCAACGAGATGAGGGATGCATGGTGGTGGTGGCATCCAGGACGAGGCAGCTCGTGTCAGAGAAGAGATAGCGACAAGCGGCGGCGCACGGCCTTGCCGCTTGCTCCACCTTGCTGGCCCAGCTCGCCTGGCCGCTGCTGATCCGGCTGGGCCGGGTTGGGCCTGTCCCCCGGCCCGAACTTCGTGGTTGGCAGTTAGGTCAATCTCAGAGTCGATTTAGTTGTGTTTAGTAAGGTGCATGTCGATTTCTGGCCAGCATCCTCTCGAAAACTTGGCTTTTTTGGTCGAATGCGAGGGGGCCCCGCCCGGGCTCGAGGTTCGTGGCGCGTGTCTCCTTTGAGAACTTCGCATCAACCCAAGCACAGGCTGGCCAAAAGCCTAATTGCAAGGCTACAGAAAGGGACATCAACATCCAAAAAGAGTCAGCAGAATCTCTCTAGAGTCCCCACCCTTGCGAACCTGTCTTGCCGGGCCAAACGACAACCCCGAGTTCCGCAGCTCCACTTTCGACTTTTTTCTCTGTGCGGGCCCAGCAACACCATCCTCTCTCCTCGCCCTCACCCTCGCCGATCGTAGCGGCCCACCTGATACCCTCCTCGGCCTCGGTCCACACGCTGTCCATCGCTCACCATGCCTCCGAGCGGCGGCGGGAAAGCCAGCGTGTACGGAAAGCAGGACTCGATCCGCGCAAAGTCTGGCACAAAGCGACGCTTCAACGCAGGGGCCGGCGCCGGCCCCGCCACCACCGCAGCCAAGCCCTTCGGCGGCCCGTCATCGTCTGGCTCGCTCGCTTCCTCGCTCGCATCGCTCTTCCAGCCATCACCTCACGGAAAGGATGCCGCACTCGCTTCGCTCCTCGCTTCATCGTCGAAACCTTCACTCGACCTCACCGCCAGGCAGCCAAGGGCAAAGGATCAAGGCCTCGGCCTCGGCGCGCTCGAAGCCGCCCCTCCAAGTGCAAGGGATGCTGCTGCGCAAAGGGCAAAGGCAAAGACCCAAGCCACTCATCCTGCGGCAGGTGCTGACCTGACCGCATCAGCCGCTCAGCAGGTTAAGCGCAGCGGCTCGACGCAGCAGCAGCAGCATGCGCCAAAACCAGCTCCGATCTCTTCAAAGAGTGTTGCGGGCGAGCCAGGACCTTCGAATACCGCTGCGGTTGCGCCCTCTGCCCCTTCGGCCGCCTCTGCCCCATCCGTCTCGCATGCAACCGCTCTCAACCTCTTGCAGGCATCCTCGGCCAGTCCTTCGCCGCGCGGCACACCTCAGCCTCAGCAGCAGCCCGCTTCTTCCGGCTCCAGCAGGCCCGCCAGCCTTGGCAGCAGCGCCGCGCCATCGCGCCTCTCGACACCGCAGCTCGCCCCTCCGCCCCTGCCTGCCGGCCGCAAGCCAGTCTTTCGTCCGGTGCTCAACAGCCCGCTGATGGTCAACTGGCCCGAGCTTCCCCAGGCCGCGTCCCAGACCATTCTCCATACCCTGCTCGACCTCCTCGGACATCCCGAAGTGCAGCCGCACCTTGCAGCGTCGTTTGGCGGATGCCGCAACAAGGACAAGGGCAAAGAGAAGAGCAAAGCCAAAGCCAGGAGTAAGGACAAGGCTGCAGATGCTTCCGCGGTCGCGGAGAGGCAACCAAAGAGACGCCGCACCGCCGCCGTCGGACACGAGGACGCCGATGCCGGCGCCGGCGCCGGCGCGCTGCAGAAGCAGCGGCCGTGGTTCCTTGCCGGCCTCAATTCGACGACACGAGCGCTGGAGAGGTCGGTGCAGGAGAGCGTCGTCTCCTCTAGCGCCAAGGGAGACGAGACGCAAACCGATCCGACGGCGACAGCGGTGGTCGCAGCAGCGGCAGGGCCAACGACCATTACCCATGTCTTTGTCTGCCGGCACGACATCTCGCCGCCCACGCTCGTCGCCCACTATCCGATGTTGGCGTGCACGGTGAATGCCATCTGCCACTCGATGACGCCGAGCGAAGGGCTTCACCTCGTCCCGCTTCCGCTCTCGTCGACCTCGATGCTGGCAGAAGCCGTGGGGCTGCACAGCCTCACCATCCTGGCGCTCACGTCGCACATACCGGCACACCTGCTCGAGGCGCTCGATCGCTCCATCTCGGCCGCCTCGTCGACTTCGCCTCCGCGCTCCGAGACGGTGCTGCGTCGAGACTGGATGGAGTCGGCCGTACATGCCGCCCGATCCGTCGGGGGGTCCAAGGCGTTCCCCCTCGTACCGGTACCGCAACCGACAGCGGGCGTGCAGGTGGCGCCGACGTCGATCAAGCTGCTCCGAACGACGCAGCCCGTCGATCTGAACGCGTGCCGAGTCGAAAAGAGGCGGAAGCGGACCGAACGCAGTCTGGCGGCACGACGGAAGAGGGAGCTCGAGTACGTCGCTCGCAAGTCGTCGCTGCTCAGTCGTCTCGGCGGCGGGTCCAAGCAGCGAAAGCAGCGGCGACACCCTGCGGACCCGTTCGTCATCCCGACCGGTGCCAAGTCGGGTCTCGGGCTCAATTCGAGGCCGATCAAGCCGTTCAGGACCAATAGCAGGGCGAGGAAGAGCGTCCTCGCCCCCTCTGAGAGCGGATTGAGCGACAAGGCCCGACGCAACCAGCGCAGGAGGATCAAAGTCAAGGCTCGATCGGCTGCGATCAATGACGCTTCCGCCGCCGCCGCCACACAGGCTCCGGCTGCAAGGTAGGCCTGGACCCACCTCTCTCCACCCACCGCAGCGCAGCAGCCATTGAGACCTGCGGCTCCTCGTAACTCGTCCCACTCATCGCGCGCGTGCATAGAGGCAGCCAGAGTCGTAACAGCCCGAGCCACGTTGACCGAGGAGGCAGAGGGGAAAGAGAAAGAGGTTGGGAGGCGGTATACACGATAATGACATGGGGATGGCGTCAGATGGATGGCGTCGCCGTTCCCGCAGGGTGGCCGGAGGGATGGACCGAAGGGATGGCATTATCAGTTCTCGGAAGCGTCCTTGAACTCGTCGTCGTCGTCATCGTCGTCGTCGTCGTCGGCGACGTTTGCAGTCGCCGACTGCGGGGCCGCCGAGGCGTCCTTGGCATCGTAGCCTTCGAGTCTATCCTCGCCGTCTAGCGCCCGCTGTCCCTCTGCCGTCAGCTTGGGCCGGCCGTCGGAGATGTCGGCGTCAAAGAAGCGCGGGACGAAGCTGTTGGCGGCCCAAACGATCGTTTTACGAGGGATGCGAGATTGTCAGCGTTGGGTCAGGCCATGGCAAGCAGCCAAGCTGTCCGTGCTCGCCGCCGTCTACTCACGTCTCTCCCTTGCGCTTCCGCTCGGCGGCGGCGTCTCGTTGCCTCTGTTCAATCACCTGCTTGTTCTTGGTGGCCTGGTTGAAATCCTTGGCGAGGATGCTGCTGGTGACGGGTTCCCAGATCCTGCGGCTCTCGAGCTCCTCCATGGCGGCCAGCGGTCGCACCGTCTTGGCAATCGGGTCCAGATCCTCGAGGTTGATCAGCAGCCTCGGCTCCTTGTCGCCCTTGCGCTTGTAGGTGATCTTGGTGCGCCAGCTGCCCTCAAACGTCGCCACGACCCGGTCCGACGGCACCTGCTTGACCGACTTGAACTCTTCGGCATCGTCGTTGGCGCCGCACTCGTAGATGCAGCCCTCGACCGCGTACTTGGCCTTTGAGAGCCAGCTCTCGTCCTTGTACTCGACAATGGTGCGCAGGCGGCTGCCGTCGTCACCGCCCCGCTTGCCGTTGCGGCAAGTGATGTAAAGGTTGTCGCAGATGGCCACCCACAGGCTGCCCCTCAAGAGGCCGTTGATGAGCGCCGTCGGGTGAGTGATCTGGTACTCTTCGCCCGCGGCACCGCAGCGTGCCTTTTCGGTGAGCCGCAGAAAGACTCCCTTGTTCTGCTCGCCGGGGAAGACCTTGACACCTGATGACGGAGAAGGAGAAGGAGGCAGGAAGCGAGCAGTTGGTCAGCCATGCGATCGGCACGGGTCCTTCGACCGGATCGCCCGCGGCCCAATGACTTACTGGTTCCGGTGAACTTGGCGCCGAGCTGGTCGACGCCGTAGAGCTGAACACCGGCGTCCTTGGCCTCGCAGAAGAACGACGAAATCGGCGGATGGTGGCTGACCTGCTCGGTCAGGAAGTTGATACGCCGCTTCGACGGCTTGCCGCTCTCGCTCGTGGTCCGGTTGGTCTTGATACTGCCGCCAGAGATTGAGGCGGCGTCCATGCGCAGGTCCTCGACAGACGCCTGGGCGGTCCCAGTCTGGCTCGATGTCTCGAACGCGCCGTTGCCCTGCGATTCCTTCTCCTTGTCCTTGTCCTTGGAGTCGTGGTTGCCGCGTTTCGCGCGACCGAGGAAGCGTGAGATCGACTTTTTGGTGCTGCCAGAGTCGGAACCGGAGCCCTTGGTCATGCTCGCTGCCGGCTTCTCCTCGACGGGTGTGGGCGGGGCTGGCGCCTCGGTGGCCGGTGTCGCCGGCTTTTCCACCTTCTTCTCTGACCGGGCAGTCGGGACGCTGGCAGCTCCGTTGGCAAGGGGCATGGGCTCTGGGCTTTCGGTGGCCAGCGTCTGGACGGGGATCAGCTTGCCGTCGTCGGAAACGGTGAGCGGGTCGACGTCCCAGTGGCAGCGGAAGTGCTCGCCGAGGATCGAGTTGTAGGGCTTGCACACCTTGCCCTTGATGAATTTGAGCTCCATGGTGAAGTGGAAGCGCAGCACGGCGAGCATGCGGTCGAGCGGGTCGTCGAGGTCGGCCACGCTGGTGAAGATGTCGCCGCGGTCGAGGTAGGTCCAGTACTCGAGGTTGGGTGTGGGCTCGAGGAGGTTGGCGGGGAGCGAGAGGCGGATGGCGGCAATGTCCTTGACGCCGACCATGCGCCTGAGGATGCCCATGAGCGTCTTGAGCTTGCCAGAGTCGCTCTGGTCCTTGTCGTTGGCGGCGCCGAGCTCCTCGTCCTCGGTCATGTTGATGGCCTCGGGCGGGGCGGCGATGTCTTCGGCTGTGGCTGCATCCTCCTTTGCGGCCAGCACGGGGCTCCTTCCAGAGTCTGACTTTGCCGACATGTTTGCGGCGCTGGGATGCTCGCAGATCGAGCGAGGGCCTTCTGGGTCGAGGTCTCGAAGCTTCCAACTGCCTAGCTGAGCCACGCCGATGGGCTGTCGGAAAGACCGATGTGCTGTGGTCTAGAGGGATACGGAACGCGACAGCAACTGCCGAAGCACTCGACTGCTGTGGGAACCGGCGGTGTGTGGGCGTCCCCGTCTGGGTACAGGTACGCTATCGGAAGCGGCCCGATCCGATCCGCTTGGCCGAGGGAGGTGGGCGATCAGGTGAGCGGCGGCGTTGCCTTCAACGAAGTGGGCCCGAGAACAATTCAGGCGCAGCCAGTGGTCGTATCGAAACTCCGTAGGTCGTCGTGAATATGGAGCGCTGGTGGTGGCGGCACAAGAGAGCGACGGAGCTCGCCTGGCGGTGTTAAGAGATAGACACGGGGGCGAGGGGCGAGGGTCTAGGCAGGGTAAGGAAGACTCTGGGTATGGTCGGATGGTCCGGAGGCTGGCGATGGCGTGTGAGCCGACTGTGAAGCAGGAATCGTGGTGAGAGAGTCAGACTGTGTCGAGTTCGACGATGGAGATGGAGATGGAGATGGAACGCAGCGGCGGCGGCGGCGGTTGCTGTCGAGAAATGGCCAGCTCAGGCAGCGAGAGGGGTGCGTGCCATCGGCTGAAAGGCAGGCCAGAGGCGGGCTGAGGTGAAAGCACGGCAGAGGCGCCTGGCAGCAGCGAGAGAGTTGGACCGGCGTCGGTCGGCCTTGGCTTGGGCCAGGCCCTGCATCTTGGCAGGGCAGGCAAGCACGGGCGGGTGGACGAGCGAGCAGGCAAGCACAGCGGGCACAGGGGCCCAGCCCGAGGCTTGCCCTCCCTCTGACGCGGGGCAGGCGACGAGTGCGGGTCTCGAGCGCGGGCGTGGACCCAAGCCAGACCGAGACCGCCCGCCAGCCCGCCACCCAGCCAGCCCCAGCCAACCAACCAGTGCAGCCAGCCAGCGCGTTGGTCCATGCATGCGCGCAGCCAAAATGTGGAGAGCATCGCCCACTCGCTGGCGCGGGCTGACAAGAGGCCGGGCGCCGCTGCTCGACGTCACGTACGCCCTCTGCCTCGACTCCGACCGCGAGCCCTCGATCTCTTCCTTGATCCCCCGACCTTGACCACCTTAGGCTTCACCGCAGCCGACCTCGCCGCTTCGACGGCATCTTCTTGCTCGCCCGTCTTTGGTGGACATCAGCGCAGCTTCCTTTTGCCCACCAGCCATGCCAGGCAGAAGGTGCGAGGAGGGCGTGAGATGCAAAGGGGACAGCTCAGCGGCCTTTCGGTGAAACGATGGTCCGGGCGCATCAGCAAGGCGAGCAGCACGTAGGCAGTCGAGGTCGATGTTGGTCTGCACGTGCGCCCGTTGGCGGGTGGAACGTTTCGAGGTCGAGGCAAGAGCCAAGAAGCACAAAAGGGCCAGCGGCGCGCCGAGACGGGCTTTGAGCAGCCTGCCTGCTGTGCGAAGATCCGAGCAGGTCGGCTGGTCGCAGACCGGCCAGCAAGCCACCCATTGTCGACCTGACGCCCCCGCGTCGTCGTCGCCGCCGCCGCCGCCGCCGCAGCAGCAGCAGCAGCAGCCCGCCTGCGGCCTCGCATACATGTTGTCGCTACCGGCGGTTTGGCCGGCTCGGATGCCCGCGCGGCTCAGCGAGCGCGTCCTGCCCTCCTGTCCGAGCCGGCTGACCCTTCTCGGAGCCGCCTTCTCGCCCTGCCCTGCCCTGCCCTGCCTTGCCCCGCCCTATTCATGTGGCGAGGCCGCCCAGTGGACAACGGGAAGGAAGAAGAGTTTTGACAGGCGAGGCTTGCCGGCCATTCGGCAGCGTGCCCCGCCCTTCCGAGCCTCTGTGGCGCCGTGGGTAGTGACTCTGCTCGTGTGAGCGGGAGACGCTCGGCGTCTCCATCTCGACCATAGCTTGATCATCTGCCACCAAACGCTAGCCAAGCCGCCGCCATGATCGACCTTGGATCGCCCGCATCGGAAACGGCAAAGGACATCGACGACGACAAGGCGCCGTCTCGTTTGCCCCGCGAACCGCACAACGAGACCGGAGCCCTACCTACCCTGGCCGACGCGTCCACGTCTGCCACCTATGCTGCTGCGCTGCTGTCGACGGCCGAGGATGCGACCGCCTTGGAAAGCAGATGGACGACGGGCCGCTACGAGCTGTGGGCCTTCTACCTCTACTACGTCGGCAACTCGGGCCTCGGTCCGTTCAACTTTGCCCCGAGCCAGCTGCAGAACCTGCTGAGCCAGCAGAGCATCGCTGCGGGCAATGGCCTCTGCGGCGGCGATGGTCAGCCAGAGTGCCGCCTGCGGTGGGCGGGCAAGGACCGCACCATCGAGGGCATCGTCCTGCTGTCCAACGGCATCGCGTTCGCCATCCAGGCGGTCCTATTTCTCACCATCGGCAGCTTCGCCGACTACGGGACGTTCCGGCCGTACATCCTGATGCTCAGCACCGTCGTCTGCGTCGGCATCTCGTTTGGTTGGCTGGGCGTCACGGATCCCTCGCAGTGGCAGATCGCCATCGCATTCTACATGGTCGGCATCATCACCTACCAGCTCTGCCTGAGCTACTGGACGGCCGCCTTTCCCGGTCTGGCCAGAAACCTGCCCGAGATGCGCAATGCGAGGGAAGGTTTGCAGGCAACGCCGCCGACCGTGACTGCCGACGAGTTTGCCAGCATGGACATGCTCTCGCGCAACCGCATCTCCAACATCGCCTTTGCCGTCTGTTCGGCCGGAGAACTCGTGGTGCTGGCTGTGATCCAGGGGATGCTCGAGGGGATCCACGCCGATCGCGACCAGGCGAGCAACACGTCTGCCCTCTCGGCCATTGTCGCCTTCAGCGCCGGTGCCTGGACGCTGTGCGCGCTTCCCTGGTTTGTGCTCGAGAAGCGTCGACCAGGCCAGCCGCTACCCCAAGACACCAGCTACCTCGGCGCAGCGGCCCGGCAGGCGCTGCTCGCCGCCAGGTACCTGTGGCGGCTCAGGATGACGCTGCTCTACCTGGGCTTCTTCTTCCTGTTTAGCGATGCCCTCAACACTACGGTCACCGTGATCGGCACCCTCCAGAATCAGGTGGTGTCCTTCAGCAGCACCAAGCTCAACGAGCTGCTGATTGTCGGCATAGCAGCGCAGGGCATCGGCATCTACGCCTTGTGAGTGGGTTGGGAGAGAGGGCCGAGAGGGAGGAGCTCCGGCAAGCTGACAAGTGTCTTCCACTCTCCCTCTTCCACCGTCGAAACCTGCCGATGCCTCTCAGCTGGCTGGTGCAGAAGCGCTGGAAGCTGTCGACGCTGTGCCTGTTGAGCTGGGTGGTGTTCTTCACCGTCGTGCTGCAGGTGTGGGGCTTTGTCGGCATCTTTACGCAGCGTTTTGGCTTCCACCACGAGTACGAGTTCTGGCTGTACCAGGTCTTCTACGGCCTGGTCGTGTGCCCGTGGTACGCCGTGAGCCAGACGATGATCTCGGAGGTGACGCCAAAGGGCTACGAGTTTCTCTTCTTTTCCCTCTTCTCGCTGGCGGGCAAGACGTCGGCCTTTGTGGGGCCTTTCGTATCGCAGGCCATCGCCGACCGGACGGGCAACGCGTCGACGCCGTTCTACTTTCTGCTGGCGCTGACGCTGGTCAGCACGGCGCTGCTGGTGCCGCTCGACGTGCGCAAGAGCCGGGTGGAGCAGCTGGCCTTCCTCGAGACCGAGGCCAGGGACAAGAAGGTGGCCGCCGCTGCTGCCGTGGTCGCCGTCGATGCGAGGGCTTGAGGCTGCGCAGATCTGGTTGCGCGTGTATCGTATCGCATCGTATCGCATCGTATCGCAGACTGGTGCGCCGTTCCCTTGGCGTATTGGTTTCGACGTGCTGCTGTAACAGAAGAAAGAAGAAGGAGGCTCGAGGGCAAGCCATCGCGGCGACGGCAGTCTGAAGCTCCCGCTCGGTGGGTGGCTGAGCCATGGCAGGCCTGGCCCAGGTGGAGGTGCACGCTGCGCAGAGGCTGTGGGCAGAGGGCTGCTGCGCCGCCTTGTCGGGCGCCCTCCTAGCCTGTTCTGAACCTCAGCCTGGCTTGGCTTGGCCTGGCCACGCCCCTCGGCCCGCTGCGTTGCTTGGCATTTCCCATGAGGCGCACAGCCTCCGTTCGCTGGCTCGTTCCCTTCGACTCCCGCTGCTCCTTCGACGGCTCGTCGTCCGACCACCACGACCACGACCGCCGCCTCCTCCGTCACGACCTCATCCCCCTTCGCCGTACCCGCCCGACCCCCACGACCCATCGCCAGCTTCACGTCTGGGCCACCTTGCAAGCTCGACACGACCTTCCGCATCCTGAGCCTTGCCCCGACGTGGCCACATGTCGTCGCCCTCGACTGCAGCGTATCGTCCACCACAAGCCATCGACGTCGCCAGTGGAGACCGCAACCTGGCCGCCAATGACAACGACAATGACACCGTCGCAAACGCCCGGCGCGTCCGCCGCAACCTTCTGAGGGCGACGTGGAACGGCATCGGCCAGCTCACGCGATGGAGAAAGTTCGTCCTCCTCTCCCGTCTGGGCGTCGCTTTGGTTCAGGTGAGTACTGCTGCTCAGCTCGCTCTCGAGTCTTCTCTGCTGTCTACACGTCCAGCTGCTTGTCGACCCGCCCGTTCGCCTGGCCTACCCCGTCTGACCGCCTCTGGCCCTCTGCCTACCGCCACTTCTCGATCCAGGTGCTGGCGTTTACGCCCGTCCTCTTCCTCGGCTCCTCGCACGGCGGCTCGTACACGCCCGGAGAGTACTGCAACCCGCAGCCAATGTTCATCTACCTCCTGCTGCACGTCCTCCGCCTGGTCGCCACCATCCCCTGCGACCTCTACCTCGGACTGAGCCCCCACCGCGCCGCGGGCGCGCAGCGCCTCAGCCCCATCGCTCGCGAACGCCTCGAACGCGAGCGGCCCATCGGCTCGATCCTCTGGGACTCGCGGATCAACAAGCTGTCCAACATCTTCACGCTGCTCAACATCGTCTTGTTCGTCGTCGGCAACCTCGTGGTCTTCCAGTCGACCGAGTGCTCCGAGCCGCCGGCCGACAGCGTCGCGCTCTTCTTCACCTGCCTCACGGCGCTCATCATTTCGTACCTCATCCTGCTCGAGATCACCATCCTCCTCGTTCTCCTGGTCTGCGCCCTTCCGCTGCTCATCGTCATCCTGCGCGCCCTCGGCCTCGGCGACCGGGCCCAGCAGCTCGGCATCAAACCGGCCACGGCTAAGGTCGATCAGGAAGAGGTGGACAAGCGCGTCAAGCTCGTCTACTTTGCTCCAGCAAAAGAGGAGCGTGAAGGGGCCGATGCGACGGACGCGGGCGGCAGCAAGAGGACCTCTTTGGACCAGGTCGAGCGTGCCTTTGCTGGGAATGCCCAGATCGGCTCCGGCGAAGACAGTCCGGGTGGCTCCCGCCTGAGTGCTCTGATGGCAGCCAGCATCCCTCTGCCTCCCTCTCGGCCCGGTAGCCCGGTCGAAGAGGTCGCCTCACCCTCGACGGACGCTGCTGGCCCAGCTCTGGCCCGCACCACCACGCGTGCCAGCAGCGTCGCGGCCAAGCACCGGCTTCCCGGCGGGCTGGGCAGGCTGCAGCGCCTCTTCTGGTCGAGGCGTGCCGCCACGCGGCCCATCGCAGGCGGCGGAGGAGGCGACGCCACGCCTCGCAAAGAGGCGCCAGCACCAGCAAAGCGAGTCGAAGACATCCCAAAGCACAGGCGCCGCAAGCTGGCGCACCCGCTCCTCGAGATCCCCGCGCATCGCGCCACGTGCGCCATCTGCTTGAGCGACTTTGAGGAGCCCAGCCTGGACCTCGCCGACCCGGAGCCGGAACCGCTGCGACACCTCGATTGTGGCCATGTCTTGCACGTGAGTCTTCCGCGGCAACCTCTTGGGTCTGCCCGCATGCCCGCTTGGCCGCCACCGCAAAGCTGACCCTCTGAACCCTTCGTTTGCCGCGCCATCTCTGACCAACGCTCGCAGAAATCGTGCGTCGACGAGTGGTTTACCACGGTGTCGGCGAGGTGTCCCATCTGTCAAAAGTCCATCGTCACATCGGCGCCGTCGGGCGAGCCCGTCGAACCCGCGCGAGGTGATCAGGATGCCGACCGCGACGTAGAGGCGCAGCAGGGCCGCGACGGCGCCGTCGACAATAGTGTACCGCAGATCCCCATGACTGTCCTTCGGCCCCGGAGCGTCACCTGACTCGGCGTCCTGGGCCCCCATCCTCGATCTCCCTCCCTGCGTGGAGATGCGGCGACGAAGCTGTACTTGTATACCCTATCCCCCCTTTTCTCGACACGACGCGAAACGAGGGATCAGCACCATCGGACCCCACTTCGTTGGCAGCAGCGCCGCGCGCTGATCGAGGGCAGGCCACGCCATCGTCGGGCGCGAGGTATTGTGCGGTGGAACTGTGCTCGTACGGCAGGTATCTCGGGTGATGCTGAGTGCGACGGGGCGGAAAGGCGAGAACGATGCAGCACGTCGTGGGCCAAGGAGAGAGAGCGACGGGCTAGTCCTCGTGGTCCTCGCCCCACACCTCGGTCAGGGGACCTTGACGACGGATGGTATCGGCCAGCTTGTCAAAGGTGCTCGATTCGATCTCGGCGGCTTGGGTCGTCGTCTGTCGTCGCAGTCGGCACGCAAAAGGGGCGGGTGGGTATGGAAGGGTAAGTCTGCCGCGCTCGGCTCGGATCCACGGATGGCCTGTCATTGCACCACCGCAAGACGAGCCTCACCATCTTTCTCTTCGTGTCGCCGGCCTGTGCTGGGTTGGGCGGCTGGAGCGTCTCTTTCCTGAGCGCCTTTCGCGCCCGGCTGGCGTACGTCTCGACCTTGTTGGCCTTCTCTGGCGGCGACGTGCCCCAGATATCGACGAGCTTGGGCCGCGATGCCGCCGTCGCCTCCTTCATGGCCGCCATGGTCTGCAACGCCTCCTTGGCCGTGTGGAATGCCGAGTCGTCGCCGTCGTCGTTGTGCTGGCTCGCCGCTGCTGCCGTCACCGTCGCCTCGGTATCGGTGGGCGAAGTCTCGCCGCCAGCCTGGTAAGCCGCGTTGCCGCCACCACCGCCGCCTCCGCCTCGAGCGAGCGTCTTTAGCGAGTGGACAGAGGGGAAGCGCGAGTCGCTGCCCGACGTCTTCTTGCGCCGAAGACCGCCACGCATCAAGTCGTGGGTCGCACTCGAGGCCCCGCCCGCCGACGTGCTGGGATGCGGTGATCGGTTCTTTCCCTCGCGCTGCAGCCGGTCCTCTAATGCCGCCTCCTGGGCGATGTGCAACTTGAGATTCCGTACGAGGGTGAGCGGCCGTGCTGTTGCCTGCCCACTTGCGGCTGCTGGGTCGTTGGGATCGGCCATCGCCTCTTGGCCGGCGAAGAGATGCGGTGCGTCGAGCGAGATTAGTTTGCTGGAGCGGTGTGAGAGGAGAGAGGGAGGGAGGGTCAGCGAGCAGGCAGAGTTGAGTTTCTGGTCATATCACTCACGTCTGTACGTCGGTGACGATGCCTCTCATGGCCTCTGCGTCGTAGCATGGCTGCGGGAGGAGCGATTTGGGCTTCTGCTCGCTGCGGAGTGGCACGGATCGAGGTGCAAGGGGACACGGTCGATGATCAGCATGCCGAATGGGCCCCAAGGATGCAGAGGTTCTGTGCGAGCTTACCGGCTAGCCGGACCGTCGGTCTGCTGAGTTTGACCATCTCCGAGCAATGGGGTGCGCTCGTCGTTCTGCGGTGAATGATGTAAGAGCGAGGATGGATGGAGAAGACTGACGGTCAGTTGCCTGGCTGATCCGTCAGACTGGTTTGGGCGGACGCTGTTGCTCGGCTCACGGCTCTTCGCGCAGCGCTGTCGCCGCTGCGCCTGGCCCTGCCCCTGCCCATGCAGCACGGAAAGATGACCTCGAGAAAGGATGCCATGGCGGGCAGGCTATTGGGGGGTCGATGTCGGGATGGGCCGATCGGGGTGGCGGTGTATCTAATTGATCGTGGCGGGAGTGAGCCGCGAGAAGGCAGGCAACGGCGGCGCAGGTCCATCCTGTGTGGAGAAGGGCCAGCTCACCCTTTGGGCCTGGTCTGGGCGTGCCGTGCCGTGCTTGCGGGTGGGCGGGTGAGCCGTGCGGTGGGGGCCCGAGCCGGTGTTCGGAACCGCCTGAGCTGCCCAACGGAAAACGCTCCGAAGGCGAGGCGAGGCGAGGCGAGGGTCAGGGTTGGGGGCCGGCTGACTGGCCTGCTTCGCCCGCCCATTTTTCAGACCAAAAACCGGAAGGAAAATCCCCAGCCCTGCCTTGAGTGGCGGAACGGCCTTCGGGGGCGGCGGCGCGGCTTGGAAGAAGGCCAAGCTGGCAGGTCCCGGCCACGCCTTTGTCCGACCACACCCGCGACCTCGCCAACCCTTGCTGTTCGCTGCTTGTTGCTAGTCCTCCTCGACGAGATCCAGGGTCCCTAGCACGTCTGCTCATCACCATCACCATCACCATCACCATCAACACCTTCTCACAGTCGTCCCGCCAAAGTCCGCTCCTCGTCCCCAAGCCCGGCTCGAAGCATCTCGGTCCCTTGTCACAATCTCGCACGCACCCGCCCCTACGACCCCCCATCTGCAGGTCTCTCTCGTCATCGACAACCGCGGCAGGCATCTTCGACACACCGGCGAGGTCCGACGACGATGAACGCCCGCACAATACTCGCCCCGACCAGGGCGACGCCGCGGCATCTTGCCCTGCCAGCCTCGTCAATACCGCCTACTGCCGCGAGACCGCTCTCCTCGCTCGCTCGACGCACTGCTCCGGCCCCGCTCAGATCCGTTGCACAGGATGACCTTGCATCCCTAAGAAGACGGCAGGCGGCCATGCTCAGCGCCGTCCGCTGCCTTCACCAGAGCTCATCGCTGCTCCAGCAGGTGCAGAAGGGGGCGCCCGCCAAGGCCGGCTCTCCACCAAAGTCCCCGTCCGCGCCGAGACCAGCAAAGCCAGCGGCGACACCACAGCAGAAGAAGCCCACCGCTTCGAGCGTCACATCAGCCAGCGTCACTCCTGCAAAGACGGACGCCGCGACCTCGGCTCCCACCGATTCCGCCACGACGACGACGACGACGACAACAACCACCTCATCGGAGGTCGCAACAGAAGACGGCAAGCCCGCTCAAAAGACGCTCAAGGAGCGCGCAAAGGAGCTGTGGGCGACGGCCAAGTACCTCTTCAAGTTCTACTTTAACGGTGTCAAGCAGATCTGGGCCAACCGCAACCGCGTCGCCGAGATCCAGCAGCGGGTGGCGGGCGGCGGCGCCCCGCTGTCGCGCGAAGAAGCGCAGCTGATCCGCGTGCACCGCGCCGACATGCGCAAGCTGCCCCTCTTCCTCACTATCCTCCTCATCCTCGAGGAGGCGCTGCCGCTCGTCGTTATCTGGGCGCCCTCGCTCCTGCCCTCGACGTGCATCCTCCCCAACCAGCTGCTCAAGATCCGCATGAAGGAGGAAGTCGCCCGGGCTGCGGCCTACAAGAAGCTGTGCGAGGTCGAGGAGGTCAAGGCGCTGCTCCCGGTCGTGTCTGGGACGGGTCAGAACCTTCGCCTTGCTCAGCCGCACAAGGACGCAGACGACGAGGTGCTGGCCAAGATCAAGGGCGAGACGCTCGTCCAGCTGGCAAAGTGAGTCCGCCGTCCTGGGGTTCCTGCCGAGTGCCTTCTCGGCATGACGCATCGCTGACCTCGCCCGCCCGCACACTCGACTTGCCTCGTGATCGCTTTCTCCGACAGGCTCTTTTCCCTGTCGACCTGGGGCGGGGCGGCCATGACGAGAAGGCGGCTGGTGGAGCACCTCAAGTACATCCGGAGCGACGACGAGATGATGTGCGAGGGCGGCGGGTACCAGTTCATCCCTCAGAACGCCGAGGCCGTCGCCAAGGCGTGCTCGGAGCGCGGGCTGCGCGCCACCGAGGTGCCGCAGAAGGAGATGTACGACACGCTGCGGACCTGGCTGCTCTACACGACGCGCAGCCCGGCGACGTCGCGGTCGCTGTCGACGTCGTCGCTGGCGCTGCTGCCGCTGCAGCTCTACAACCCGCGGTCGATCCAGGAGATTGAGGCGTCGCTGGCCGCCGAGAGCGGGCGCGGCCTCATGGAAAAGACAAAGGACGTGCTCAACGAGGTCGTCGAGACCGAGAAGAAGGTCCTCGAGCGCGACCAGAAGACCGACGACGAGATCCAGCAAAAGGCAAAGGAGGCTCAGGCCGCGAGGAAGTGAGGGGCCCGCCCCCGGGTGCCCTCGCATCCCATTCCGTCCCCTCTGCTCTGCCCGCCTCCTTCGCGGCGCCTCATCCGGGCCTCCCTCGCGCCTTTGTCGCGCCCCTCGCTTCGCTTCGGCATCATCATCATCCGGCTTCCGCCCCTCCCCACTCATCATCGCAGCGTTCACTCTTTCATATAGATGGGGTCCGAAAGAGACGACAAGGTAGCTTGATAATCCCACCCACTCTGCAGCATCGATGCACCACGGTCGCACGGCGGCGTTCCCAGGCAGCACGCAGCAAGACGGACCGGCGGGCGCGGGGCAAATGGAGGACGAATGGTTTGCGGACGCGGCTTGGCGGGATCAGTGAAGGGGAAGGGAGGGACGAAGCTGGTGATACATGCAGGGACAGCGAAGAGGGAGTGTTCTGGGGATCGGCGTCGTCGTCGTCGTCGTCGTCGTCGTCGTCGTCGTCGTCGTCGCTGTCACCGCGTCGTTGCAATGGATGCGGGGCTCTGAATGAGTGCCTGCGGTTGCTCGACGCGCGACGAGAGCACGGAACGACGTGCGTATGCTTACGATGAGCGGGAGAGGGAGAAGAAACGACCGAGAGGGAGGCGGATGGGAGGCGAGCGGAGGTCTCGCTCCCGCTCCCGCTCAGAGCTCCATGTTGCCGGCGGGCCCCTCGTCGTCCGAGATGCTGCCGACGTCGCTCATCTCGTCCTCATCCTCGTCATCCTCATCATCCTCGTCGCCGGCGCCGTCGGCGGCCTCCTTTGTGGCGTAGCGCGACACGTACTCCTTGACCTTGCTCTCGTACGTCTTGGGTTCGCGCATGAGGAGGGCGGCGGCCTCGCCGTTGAGCGGGTCGGTGGGGTTGGGGTAGCGGAGGAGCTGGGGCAGGAAGACTTCAAAGATGTTGATGCAGTCAAACATGGGCGACCAGGTCTGGTTGATGACGTCGAGGCAGACGGAGCCCGAGAGCTCGTCAATGTTGGGGTGGAAGATCTTGTTCATGAAGCCGATCGAGGGCGACTTGTAAGGGTACTGGTCCGGAAGCTCGACGTGGATCTTCCACACGCCGCCCTGGAACGGGGCTGCGGGGCGGAGGTCGGCAGAAGGCAGGCATCGGTCAGAGGAGACGCTGCACTCGCTCCGAAATGGAACCCCGGCAGCCTACCCACTCTCTGCTGGCCCGTGGAAGCGGACGTAGAATTCCTGCATGTTGTCGTTGATGAGTGTGATCTCGTAGTCGGACATGAGGCTGCGAATGCGAACGGATGGGCGAGGTGTTGATGTCAGTAGTGGCGATCAGCGGATCCTTGGGGGCGGACGTGGGACGTGGGCCGGGCACACTGACAGTTTCATGACATCTGTCTCGATCCTGCGCTTGGGCGAGCTCATCTTGGACGACTTGGCGATGGTGAAGAGCTGTCCAGAAAGGGGGGCTCGGCGGGGTAGGTTGGGGGTTTTCGACGAGGATGGGCGGCAAGGGTCCGGCTGCTAGACGATGGTCGATGCAGAGGACGGAAGGTGGTGGGTCGCGAGCCGAGCGTGGATTGCAGACAGATGATGCGGATGAGCGGTTCGCTGAGCGAGAGGTCGAGGGGGAGATGGCGGGTGGCTGTGGTCGGCAGTGGTTCCGAGAGGCCAGGGTGGTGGGGTTTGCGGAGGGAGAGGCAGAGAGCAGGGTGGCGTGCTGAAGGTGCGGGTGTGATGGACGGGAGGCAAAGGGTTGCTGGCGTGCTACCGGTGCGGTCACACCCCCGCCGGCCAGCCGCTGCCTGGCTGCCTTGGCTGCGTGGCCGTGTGTCGCTCTCTCTATGGCCGACCCCCCGGGCCCGCGCGCGCAACACCTCGATTTCACCGCCGACACTTTGGCTTTGGGCTCTCTCATACTCGCCGCCTCTCTGCTCCTTTGCACATGGAGGATACGCTCTGGATGCTCGCACGCTGTTGATTAGGCCGATGGTGAGGAGCCAAGCTACGCCAGGCGGGGCCAGGATAGGAGAGGTTGCCGCCAGCGAATGGAGTCGCCTGGCTGAAAGGCGGAGGCGGTGAGCAAGCGCTGCAGCATGTGGAGGAGCGATAGAGAGCGCGGGGGCGGCCCTGCCGAGCCTGACTCTCTGGCGGCTAGTGGGCCAGGGTCCGGTCCAAAATCAGCCCAACACATCAGCGGAGCCCAGAGTTTCGGTTCTTTTCTGGATCGAGGTGCGGCCTTCCAAGCAATCTCTTGCAGCTTCTGCTGTTTTGCACGGCTTTCAATTCGGCAGATACCCGGACAGCAAAATCAAAATCAGACTTTAATTTTTTTTCTTTTCTTGGTAGCGGCTGTTGCCCGCTCGCCCCTAGGCTGAGCTCGTCGCTGACCAAACTGCTCTTTCAAAAATCAGCGTTATGAAAAAAATGTCAGTGCGCTCGTTAAAACTCGAAAGCCATCAAGACCTTCGGCCTTGTCTAGCTCGAGAAGAAAGTCGAGAATTTCGAAAACGTGAAATCTCACAAAGGCTGGCCTCGGTCGCCCGACGCCGACCGCTGGCGGCCACAGCCCGAAGCCGACTGATCCGCACGAGAGAGGCGCCCAGGTGATCCCACCCCTCACTTTTGCGGGACGCGGACTCCTCCACCCTGGCTTGGCCTGGCTCGGGCCTGCCGACCGCCATCAACCAAGCATCCGGCCCATCCTCCGCCCTCTTCGTAACACGCAGCGCATCACCACGGCCCTTCCGCAACGCTACCGCACCCAGCGCGCACCAGCAACGTGTACCTACCCGACTGCCGCAAGACGCCCTAGGAGCACGACTGCCACCCCACAGCGACCGGACGCGCGCCGCCCGACTTCGACTGCCCGACATGGACGCCCAGGACATTGTCTCCAACATTGCCTTCACCACGTCGGGGTCATTGGTGGACTGCGTCGATAGTGAGTAGCGGCCTGTGCGGTCCCATCAACAGTGCCATTGCGACCCGCAGGCTGAACGGAAACCCTCGTGCACACGCTGCGTCGATGTCGAGCAGAAAAGATGATGGTGGTCCTAAGAGACGGCAAGAAGCTCATCGGCGTCCTCAGATCGTACGATCAGTTTGGTGAGCCCAATCCGATAGCTTGATCCTCCTCTAGCGACCAGCTGGCGATGCACATGCTGATGCGAATCAACAACTCCGACCTCCCTGCTGCCACAGCCAACCTGGTGCTGCAAGATACCGTCGAGCGTGTCTATGTGGGCAACCGGTACGGCGACATCGCCAGGGGTGTCTTCCTGGTGCGAGGAGAGAATGTGGTGCTTCTGGGCGAGATCGTAGGTGTCGGACTGGGCCTATGGAGAGCGCATGCGGGTGAAAGAGACGAGAGAAGACAAGGGACGCTGACACGGATCCGACCCTGGGCCACCATTGCCTCCGCCGCCCCTCGCCGCTGCTGCAGGACCTCGACGCCGAGGACGAGATCCCGCCATCGATTGCTGCACCGCTACCGCCGTCTGCGCTCCCGCAGCTGTTGGCGGCGAGGGAGGCCGAGTCAGAATCCAAGGCCAAGAGCGAGGCGAGAAAGGCAGAGATCCTCCACCGAGCGCACGGCTTCTGCGCCGACAAGAGCGGAGACGGCGACATGTACTGAACGATGAGTGCGTCTCGTTGACATCCATTCAGACCTAGTTAGATGGCCGGGCGGCGGAGCGACGATGCAGCAGCAGCAGCAGCACGTGAGGCCGTGGCTGTCCATAGACGTGGGGCGTTGCCGAGTGTCGACGTGCAGAACGCCGACAAGACGGCCGCGATATGGGCATCGCGTTATCTGGAGGGCAACGTGGGGCCTAGGCTGGGGCAGACCAGCTCGCTGAGCCCCGCCTTATCGCTTGCGGGCTTGCGGTCTGCGGGCTTGCGGTCGGCACCCAGCCGCCTGATCCCGATATGGGCTATGCTTGGCTGATTGCTTGCCGGGCCGGTATGGCTTGCTTGTGTTCTTGGGCACCGGAAGAATTCAACGCCGGCACCGCCTCAAGCAGCGGGCGACCACGACGGCAGCCAACACCATACAGCTCATGTGGTCGAGCTGAATCGTTCATGGGCCGGGAAGCATCAGGGCGCAGAGGCCAGGCAGGCCCAACCTTCAACCGTTCCGTCGCGACCAAGCTTCGCCTCCGCGGCCAAGCTTCGTCGGCTCAAAGGGAAAAGAGAGGCCCGCTGGGGAACCGGCTTGCTGCTCGTGCTCACGGTAGGCGGTGGCGGCAGTTGCTGGATCACTACTGAGGATCGATCAAGGGCAAGCGTAAGCGGAGGGAGCAGGAAGCGTACGTGCTTCTTAAAACGCTGAGGGCTGTATGTTGGTTCCGAGGGTCTGCACGTTGCCCCGTCCTTCGGCAGGAGTGGGGAGCTCGTCCGTCGCGCTCAGCATGGGGCAGCGTCGAAGGCCACCCAGACAGAGGGCCTGCCTTCCTCGCCCAACTCGACCATCATCCAGATGATGAGGACGATGACAGCCTGCCGTGGCCATCCCAGCCGTCACCGTCACCAAGACAAAGATACAGACAGCTTGCCTGCCATCACGGTGCGTCGCCGCTGCGCTCGGGACGCCTTTCCAGCGATGCATTCTATCAACCTTGCGAGCCTGCCTATTGCTGGCCAGCTCAGCCAGCTCGGCTCGGCTTTGGCTAGGCTGAGGTCTGGCGTGGCCGTCCACCTATCGATGCCCGTCTTCGGTCGGCCCACCGGCCTGTCGGGCAGTCGGTCGGTCGGTCGGTCGGTCGGTTGGTTGGTGGAGAAAGAGCTGGCGGAGGGGCAAGAGCCAGCAAGCAGGCCAACCAGCCCGATGAGATTTTTTAAGAATTTCGCCCAGCCGGCCTGCAAGCGGTGGCAGAGGCCGCCTGCCCAAATTTTGGGAAAAAAAAGCTGTTGGGGGAAAAGCCAAGGCAGGGTTCGCGTTCGGCGAGTGCGGCGGGCGAGCAGGGCGGGCGGGCCCATGGCGCAGCGGCTGTCCTTGGTTCCTCTGTCGCCCTGCCTGCCCAGCTTTGCTCGCTCTTCCTTTTGTCGTCAAGCGGCGCGGGTGGGTGGGGTGGAGAAGGTCGAGGGTGGCGTGTGCGCACGAGGTTGGGCCGCCCGCCCGCCGACTGTTGGCCTGGCCGCCTGGCTGCCCGATGCAGAACCCTGGGCCAAACCCCCCTTGTGGCTGCTTGCTTGTTCGGTCGCTTGCCGTGCGTGATCCTGGGCCCGCTCTTCGCCCGCCTTGATCCGCCATGCCGGGGCGCGGTGCAGCCAACCCAGAGGAGGGCGAGCGGGCGGCCCTTGTTGGGTACCCACGCGGCGGCGGCGGTGGTGACGACGCTGCGGGCTTGGCCTGTTCGCAGCTCACCCAGCCCAGACCAGCCCAGCCAGACAGCATCGCCGCCGCCGCCGCCGTCGTCGCCGTAGAAGCCGGAAACCTTCCGAGCGGGGGAGGGGCCAGCCTTCGCAAAAAGTCGACGGGGCGTGAGCCGTGCGTGCGGTGTGGGTCTGCACTGTTGGCTTCCCCAAAGCTCTCTTCTGCGCCGGGCGAGATACATAATCGTTGCCTCCCTGCCCGCTGCGCCCCAAGCTGCCTGACCGACTACCACCACCACCACCGCCACCACCTTCACCGACCACCCTTTTCGGCCTGCTCTTTAGCTTCCATCCAGGCACGAACCCACCGATTCAAAGAGAGACGACTTCGACCGCCCGACAGCGACGAAGCTCTTTGACGACGACGACGACCACCACCACCTCGACGACACCTACCTCCTCCTCTCCTGTCCGTTTCCCCTTCGAGTGACGACCGAAGACGAACGGCACCCACCCTCGCCCTCATTTCACCACCTTTCCCCTCGGCGCAAGCTTCACATCCCTTCCGCCGCCCCACGCAGCGTTCAGCCGCACTCACCGCGCACATCGTAAAGCCTGACTGAAGTGACGAGCAGTCTCTCTCTACGACGACCGTGCCAGCAGCCCGCACCGCACCATAGATCCTACCCTTCATTCTCCTGCATCCCTCTTCATTCTTCCACCGACAAAAATGGCCGCTCCTGCCATCAAGAACGTGGCCGCCCAGGGCTCGCCCTCGGACGACAGCTACGTCGACCTTTCGAGCGTCAGCAGCCAGAACGGCTCCAACGGCTCGCTCCTGCGCCCCCTGACCATCAGCCTCAAGGGTGTCGAGGTCCGCATCGCGGTTCCCGCGCAGCCTTTTGAGGCGTGGGTGGCCAGCGACGTCGCTCGCGAGGAGTTCCAGCGCAGCCTCCTTGCCTCGGCCGTCGAGGCCGACGAGCTCGAGGTCATGGGCGAGCAGGACGCCGACTCGGTCGAGGAGCTCGCCAAGTCGCAGGTCGCCCTGCTGGCCAAGTTCCTCGGCTTCCTGGCCGCCCGCTCCTCGGCCAAGTCGACCGCCCACGAGCTCGGTCTGCTGCAGCACGCCTGGATCAGCTTCAACAACCACTTCCTCGGCGAGGGCAAGAGCGTCCACGACATCGCCGCCACCCTCGACCTCGACGTCCGCTCCAGCGTCCTCCGCGCCTTTTTCGAGGCGTTTGTCGTCCTCGAGAGCGTCGGCAGGGCCACGCCCGGCCTCAGGCGCCCCAAGCTGTTTGAGCTCTCGGCCGCCGGGTCCGCCCAGGTCCACGCCGTCTTCGGAGGCCAGGGCAACAACGAGGTGAGTACGATGCGATCCCGCCCGCCATGTCATCGCTCCCCGGTTCGGTAGCCTCCTTTCCTGTCCGTGATGGACGGCCTGCCTGCCTCTCGCCATGCCTCCGTCGCCGGCCATCGGCGTCACGGGTCGCACGCGTGGCCAGCCTCTGCGTCGGTCCGGGCGCTGGGACGTCATCCTCCCACGCCCAGTCGGCGAGCGGCCGGCGAGGCGACTGGAGGCGGCCTAAGCGAGGTGCCAGCTGCGCATGGCTTCTTTTTTGGATTTTTTGGATCCGGGGACCTCGTTTTTTTTTTTTTTTTTGGGGGGGGGGGGGGGGGGGCTAGGTGGGGGCCCGGGGTCGGGCCAAGGGGCCCAGGGCCCCAGGCGGAGAATCCGGGGCTCGCGGCCAATTCGCCGGCAGGTTGCCGATGCAG